TGTCGCTGAGTGTCTGCTGCTGGATCTAATAATTGGCCCTTGCACTGGTTCTAGTCCATCTGTTTTTTCAGCCCAAAGCTCTAGTGGAACTCCCTGAAGTCTCTGATAATGCAGTTGTCTGTGTCTCTTTGCCACTTCGATCCAGGTCGAAACACCCTATTTGCAGGAAGATGTTATCAAACAAATGACTGCAGTCATTTCCTTCTTTTTTCTGGTCTCCAGTTGATAATACACACCTAGAAACCACTCCCCGTTGCAGTCTGCTTTACAACTGAGCAATCTGGAGGTAAGGGGAACCTGGCTTTATACCTAGAGTCCTCAGGGCCCTGTCCTGAGCCTGGCCTTGTCGCACTCCTTCCCCAGGTGAGCTCATTCACCCCACAGCTGCCACTGAAACAGTGGCTCCCACAGCGCCATCTCCAGCCCCTTGTCAACCCTGAGTTCCAGGTCAGCAAATCCGACTGTATGCTGGACGTGTTCATGTGCATGTCCCAAGTCACCTCAAGCTCAATAAGGGCAAAATGGAACTCATGTTCCTGCCTCTGCCACGGAAACCATTACCAGCTGGAAACCAGTCCAAAGTGGGGAGAAAGCGGTGTGCTAGTAAACATTTAGCAATTGGCTCTTGGTGGGGGAGAAAAAAGGCCTGATTTGTACTGTTTGCCAATTTCCATGGTGCGGACTCCCACTATAGCCAATTTCAAGCTACCAACATAAAAGGGCTAAATGCTATATTGGGAAGAGATGTGTAGAACTGGCTCTTGTGGACTGGGAGGAGCCTGCTCCAGCACAACCCAGCAGGGCTATCCCCACTGCCAATCACAATGCCTGACACACCGGCCTTTTCACCGTTTGGTAACACACCAGCTGGGAGAGATCCTCGGCTCATCCCTTCCTCATGCCTCACTAAATGCTCCTTCCACCCCCATAAGAGTTTCTCTCCATCTGTCCTGCTAGATGCTACCCCCACAGGAACCTCCCACCTGATCTCACCACGTCCATTCCTGCCCGCTCCCACCCATTCTCCACAAAGCAGCCAGTGTCTTTTAAGAACAGGAACCAGAACATGGCACTTCTCTGACGCAGTGATTGCCCTCCTAGGTATCTACCCAAGAGAAATGGAAATGGACGCCCACACCAAAATTTGTGCCTGGATATTCATAGCAGCATTACTCACAAGAACCAAAAACCAGAAACAACTCAAACATCCATCAACCCATCAACCAATGAATGGATAAGTAAAACACGGTGAGTCTGTAATGTAGAATACTATTCAGCCATCTGGACAAATGGCGTTCTGATACGTGCTACAACATGGATAAACCCTGAAGACATTATGCTCAGTGAAAGAAGCCAGTCACAAAGGACCGCATGAGTGTATGAGTCTGCTTATATGAAACGTCCAGCAGAAGCAAATCCATTTCCAGAGTGGCAGAAAGTAGTGGTTACCACGGGGCTGGGGGAGATCCAGAAACCAGGGAATGATGGTTAGGGGTGCAAAGTTTCTTCTTCGGGCGATGAAAATGTTATAAAGTTGACTGTAGTGACTCACAGCTCTGTGAATGTATTAAAAACAGTTGAGTTGTACATTTTAGGTTGGGGAATTGTACAGTATGTGAATTATATCTCAAGCTCTTACCAAAAAAGTCCTCTGAATAAAGTCCGTAGCCAACAAAACGCATTACCTGGCCTCTGCCAAGCCAGCCAGTGCTCCTCTCGCACTCACAACCATACCCGGCCACACTGGTCTGCCCTCGCTTCCCTGAACACCACAGGGCCCTTGCACAAACTCTTCTCTGCCCCTCCTCCCACCCCATGGCCACTCAACATTCATTCTTCCTTACCTTTAGATTCAGCATTGCTTCTTCAAGGGTGTAGTCTCTGGTCCCCATTCGGGGCTGGCTGCCCCACGAGAAACATTTTCCCAGCACCCCACTCTCTCCCGTGTCGGTGCTTGTTCAGTATCTGTCTCTCGGTCAGATGGAAGCACCGGGAGGGTATGGAAGCACCGGGAGGGTAGGAGTGCCTCTGTCCGGTGGACTCAGGGTATCCCCCTGCTGCCAATCACAATGCTGATATGCTGACCTTGAGACTGCTTTGTGAGCACACCAAGCTTATTAATACCTCAGAGACTTCTACTCTGCCCGGCACGTCTGGCCCCCCTGAAGCCCCTTGGCAGCTCCTTGTCATGTAACCTCCTTAGAGCTCTTCTGTAACTACTCTAAACTCCCTATCACTCTAGTTGCTCCTTACTCTTGTTTTGTTTCTTCACAGCACATGCCGCCAGTTGAAATCACATTATTTTATTGTTATTATTATCCCTCCTCTCTCTCTCTTTTTCAGAAAATCAGCTTGGTGGGGCGCCTGGGTGGCTCAGTGGGTTAAAGCCTCTGCCTTCGGCTCAGGTCATGGTCCCAGGGTTCTGAGATGGAGCCCCGCATCGGGCTCTCTGCTCAGCGGGGAGCCTGCTTCCTCCTCTCTCTCTGCCTGCCTCTCTGCCTACTTGTGATCTCTGTCTGTCAAATAAATAAAATCTTAAAAAAAAAAAAAAAAAAGAAAATCAGCTTGGCAATAGACCCAGAATAGCCAACCTAATATTGAAGTAGAAGAACAAAGTTGGAGGACTGATGCTCCTTGACCTCAAGACTTACTATAAACCTAGGGTGATCCAAATAGTGTGGTACTGGTATAGGAATAGATAATAAATCAATGGAACAGAATAGAGAGCCTAGAAATAGACCTGCACATATATAGTTAACTAATCTTTGACAAAAGAGCAAAGAAAATTCAATGGAGAAAGGAGACTTTTCAACAAACAGTGCTGGAATAACTGGACAGCCATGGGCAAAAAAATGAGACACGGACTTCATATTTTCACACAAACTAACTCAAAATGCAGCACAGACCTAAATGTCAAACACTGTCAAACTCCCGGAAGATATCATAAGAAAAATCTAGAAAACCATCTTAAGATATACTATCAAGAGAAAAAAAATTGGTAAGTTGGACTTCATTAAAATTAAAAAACTTCTGCTCTGGAAAAGACGCTGTTAACAGAATGAAAAGATAAGCCACAAACTGGGAGGAAATCTTTGTGAGACACATGCATGATAAAGGACAAGTATATAATATATATATAAATGTATATAATATATATATATATAATATATAAAGAACTCTTAAAAGGGGCACCTGGGTGGTTCAGTGGGTTAAAGCCTCTGCCTTCAGCTCAGGTCATGATCCCAGGGTCCTGGGATCGAGCCCCGCATTGGGCTCCCTGCTCAGTGGGAAGCCTGCTTCTTCCTCTCTCTCTCTGCCTGCCTCTCTGCCTACTTGTGATCTCTGTCTGTCAAATAAATAAACAAAATCTTTTTTCAAAAAAAGCACAACAAAAAACCATAAGGAAACAACCTGATTAAAGAAAGGGCAAAAAATCTGGACACCTCCCCCAAGAAGACATATGGATGATAAATAAGCATATGAAAAGGTGTGTAACTTCATCTCTTCAGGAAACTGCAAATTAACACAACAATGAGATACTACTAGACTTATCAAAATGGTGAAAATCCAGAACAGTGACAACATCAAGTGCTGAAGAGGATGTGGAGCAAGAGGAACTCTCTTTCATTGATGACAGGAATGGAAAATGGCACAGCCACTTTTGAAGCCAGTTTGGCAGTTTCTTACAAAACTAAATATATTCTTATCATATGATCAAGCCATGGTGCCCCTTGGTATTTACCCAAAGGAATTGAAAAATTTAAATCCACATGAAGACCTGCACATGAATATTTATAGAAGCTCTATTCAGAACTGCCCAAACTTGGAAGCAACCAAGATGTTCCTCAGTAGGTGAATGGATAAACAAAGTGTGGGACATCCAGACAATGGAATATTATTCGGCACTAAAAAGAAATGAGCTTTCAAGCCATGAAAAGATATAGAGAAAACTTAAGTGAAGGTGAAAGAAAGGTGCTAAGTGAAAGAAAGCTCCAAGAGAGCAGAAATTGTTATTTGTTCACTGCTGCATACTCTGCATCAGTGTCTGGCCAAAACAGACCCTCAAGAAATATTTGGTGAATAGATAAATGTACAAGACAAAAACTTTTTTTGGTCATCCTTGATGCTGCTCTTTCAGCTCCAACAACTAATCCATTAGCAATTTCTGTCAATTCTACCTTCTTAAATATATCCAGAATCTGACTTCTCATCACCACAATAGACCCACTATGGGCCAAATTGGAGTCACATTGCCCCTAGATGTTTCCAATCGCCTCCTCACTGGTCTCCCAGCTTCTACTCCTGCCCTCAACAATCTATTCTCTACGTGGATGCCAGAGAGAGGCTTTTAATACCTTAGTCCAGAGGACTTCAAACTTCTAGAAAGGGCCAGATAGTAAATCTTTTCAGCTTCGTGGGTTCTGTAGCCTCAGTTGCAAAAATCTGTCTCTGCAGAAGCAGCCATGACAAGTGTGGCTACATTCCAATAAAACTCTATTAACAACAGCTCTTGCCATGTCACTCTATTCCAGACCTTTTCATGGGTTATTAAGACCCAAAGTCCCATTACCTGCCTGACTCTATCTCTTACTTTCACCCCCTTTGGCTCCTCCAGCACAGTCCTCCTCCCAGACATTGCAGGTGCTGTTCCTCTGTCTAGAGCATAGTTCTGCCTATCCTCCTGGTTCATTTGTCACCTCCTCCAGGAAGTCTTCCCTAACCTTCTGATCTAAACTGGCACTCTCTCCTATTCTGCGCCCCCCCCAGCATTAGCGTCTCCTGACTATATATTCCTGAGTTTAGTTTGTCTCCTCCTCCAGAGTGTCAGCTCACTGCTGTGTCCTGGCACTTGGAACCATGCCACGCACATGGCAGATGTCTGACCAGTACACAGAGCAAATGCACCCACAGCAGACACTAGCAGGGTCTCGTGGAAGAACTGGGTGAATGAGAAGGACGCAAGGGTCTATGTGGACCCGTCGGGCAGGGTGCTTCCTCACCTAGCTGACCCCCGACCAGCTTCGTCTTCGCGGCTCTCCTCGCCCTGCTGCCGCTCCTTGCTCTCCCCCAGCGCGGGGAGATCCTGTGGATCCTGGTCCTTGCATTCTACGTGGGGCATGTCCACCTGTGAGCACAGCCAGCGCTTGAGAGGCCAGAGGGGGAAGGGCGAGAAGGGGTCAGGTCTCCTCCTACCGCCCTTTCGACCCCGGGCACCTCCGTGTGCCGCTGCGAAAGGCCGGGGACCCCCAGGAGGGGCGCGCGGGGCGGGGACGGGCACCACGAGGTCGGGGACGTGTGGTGGGAGGGCCCTGCGCTTGGAGCGCCGGAGGACAGTGGCGGGGAGACCTGGAGGGGTTGGGGTGAGGTCAGGGGCGCCGGGAGGGGCGCTGGGCTCCTAACTGGTGTGTGCGTCGGCTCGAGTCCTCCGAGGAAGGAGAAGAGGTAGGAGAAAAAGAAGACAAGAAAGGGGTGCAGCGCGTGGATATCTGAGCCTTTCTCTACCCTGCTCCTGCCACTCGCCATGCGTGGGAGTCTGTCCTTCTGGCCCGGGCTGTCAGCGTGTCGGTCACACAGTCCCGTCTGTCAGTCAGGGCCTGGTCAGTCAGTCAGGAAATCAGACCCGGCCAGGAGAGGCGTGGCCCCGATGCCAGGAGACAAGCGGCCAGATTCGGGTCCGCCAGGGAAGCCCGAGATCGCCGCCGTTCCCGCCCGTCCGCCCGCTCGCCCACCCTCCGCGCGAAGGAAAACAAGCGTCGCTTACTCCCTGTCGCTCCATCCTGTCTTTTCCCGCCTTCTCCTTCGTACCCTCTGCGCACGCGCTAGCTCCGCCCCCGTCTTGCCAGGCCGCCGCGCACGTGCTGCATCACGTGCTCCTGGTTCCGCCTCTTTTTGAGAACTTGCCAGGCGCAGCGGGGCGGAGTCGGCCGTTAACCGGCGGTTGGGCTGTGCCAGAGGCTTCGCGCGCAGCAGGGGCCGCCCGGAGGAGGAGGTGGTCTGTGTGCCCACGTGGGAGGATGCCGGGCCCTGCATGGGTTGAGGGAATCGAGCAGTCTCAGATTTCAGTTCATCTGCGCTGACCCCCAAGAAGTCTTTGCAATAAAAAATCCTGACCGTGGCTGTTCTTATGACCTGTTGTCTTCAGTGAAGTATTTATGCAGTATCCCCTTGAATCAGTTACCTGTGCGCTCTAAAACTGTAAACTCCTTAAAAGCATGGCAGGTCTGGCCTTTAGAGTTGGGCCCATATCCCTTACTAATAATAGTAATAGCAACAATGCCTTAATAGTAACAATAATGATGGGCACCTGAGGAGCCACAGACTGGGAGAGAATATTGCTAAACATGGATCTGAGAACTTACAGCCAGCATTTACAAAGAACTCTTACAACTCAATAGTAAGACAACTTAAAAATGGGCAAAAGATTTGAATAGGCGTGTGCGAAAGTCCTGAAGTCCTGAAATGGGAGCAGACTCAGTGTGCTTGAGAAGCTAGGCCTGGCAGGGAGGGAGAAGAGGGAATAGGGGAGGCTGTGAGTGGGGGATCAAAGTTGGGCAGGGGCTGGGCTCGGGGCCAAAGCAAGGGGTTGGGGTTTGCTCCAGCTCACTGGTAAAGTGGAGCTGCGCTCTAGGACACCTGTCACTGTCCATGTGTGAGAGGCAGCAGGAATCCTGTGCAGGGCTCTGTCCCCGGTCACGCAATGACTAGGGCACCCATGTTGACACCTACATTATGGAGAATGTGGTTTGAATCTGGTCTCTTACCAGTGAGAGGGGCTGGGGGGCAGGGCATACAACTGCCACCCATTCTCAAAATCCATTTTTGCCTGTAACTGAGGCAATAAAATCTAAAACGGACTATTCTAAGGGTTGCAGACATAAACTTCTGGAACACAAGAGTTTAATAAACAGCAGCTAACATTAGTATCTTGTGGCAAAGCCACAACGTAAACAAAATGTACATTCCTGCAGCATCAGATTTGAAGATTTGCAGATTATCTAGGAGAAAAATCTCAAAAGATTCACTGGTAAACACGCGCATGTGCACACACTCATTGAAAAGAAAAGCAACACACAATATGCAGGACGATTTTTTTATGGTGCAGGGTCTGTTTAACTTCTGAAAATAAAATCAAACCTGTCTTGTTTAAGTAACATATATAGTAGCAAAAGTTTTAAAAACACATGAGAAGGAGAAACGCCAAATTCAGGAGGGAGCAATCTCAGTGAGGTGCTGGCAAAAGGAACTAGGACAAGCCCACAGGGTCTTCGAACCATTAGTCACAGATCTAAAATGCAGAAGACCCAAAACAAATGTAGTCCATGCTCAGATTTGACCCAACTGGGGGGCGGACTCCTAAGTGCTTGCTGCATTAGGCTTTATGGTTTATGCTCAGTACACTTCACCTTGCCCACCCACCCTCACTTTTCTGTGGTTTTACCCCTCTCTCCATTTCCGTATTTATCTGTTTACATCTCCAGTGTACCCTTTCCCCCAGGTCAGCTCCCCAGGGCAGGGACCTGAGTCCGCTCTCCCCTTTGCTGAGTCTTCAGCTCAAAACACGGCTGGCAGTCAGAAGGTGCACATTTGTTGCATGAATATTTTTCTGTATGACTGAATTATTTAATTTGAAATAAAGAAAAAAAAAATCGACCAAGTAGCCCCTGTGAGATTGGTATGTACACACACCCAGGAACCAGAGAAACCCACAGCCTCAACTGCCAACTGTGCTGGCTGTAATGGCGGCCCCAAGGTTCCAGAAGTACCGTTCCCATTTCCAAAAGTGCACCGACCCTGAAGACGTGGGGGTGAGGAACCTGGAGACTTTGAGATTTGCTTTAAAATATTTCTACAGAAACAGAGAACGCACTCACGGCTCAGTGTGGATTCAGGAAGCTCTATCCTACTCATCTTCCTCCTAGGCGCTCCTATGAAATTCTTAGGAGACTGTGTTTTTAAAAAAGAGTACCTTTTTAGGGGGAGGACAGAGGGATGAATGGGTGGAACACAAAGGACTTTCAGGGCACTGAAAATACTCTGTGTTACCCTAACAACGGACACGCAGCATCACATCTGTCCAAACCCAGAGAATGTACAACACAGAGCGTGAAGTGCACGAACCATGAAGTGGCGGCAGTCAGCAAGTCTCTGGAGTTCATTCGTCCTTATGAAAGGCACAGCTTTGGTGGGGATGTTGATGGTGGGGAGGCTGTGCATGTATGGGGGAAGCGTAGATGAGAAATCTCTATACTTTCCACGTAATTTTGCTGTGAACCAGAAACTGCTCTTTTTTTAAAAAGAGGGGGAGGAAGCAAACTTAAAGAAATGCTTTCGGGGGGAAAAAAAAAAAAGAACACTTTTTTTTTTTTTAAAGCTGCCCCCACCCCGTCACCTCACCATGCCTGGCTGCCAGGGGGAATTGTGGCACCTGCCTTGGCCTTCCCCTCTCATATGCCCCTTCCCCAGGGGTGGAAGGACTTCTGTTCATCTAGGGTAGAGCCTGGCACCACCAGGTGATCGGTAAATGCTTGACGGAGCTAGTCTTCCCCAAGGGGATCTAGCCCAGGCAAGCCAGGAGCTCCTGAGGATCCAGGGCCCCCAACCCACCGCTCCTCACACCCAGGCGTCTAGCACTCCTCCATCCCTAAGGAAAGGCATCATTATGAAGACAACTGCCCACTTTATTAGCCAGTGGCTGGCCTGCAGGGCTCCCTAGGGCCCACCTTCATAGGTCAAACCTGCTACTTGCTCCCTTGCCCCTGGGACCTTGGGGCAGGTGCGGAAGAGGAGATACCAGGGGTGGGAATGGGGGGTGGATGGCCTCACAGAGGCCTTATAAATACAAGGAGGTCTCTGGCAGGGATGCTAGGGAGCTGGACAGCTGGGGTTCAGGGAAAGGCAGGCTATCCAGGGTGGCCCATGTCACACGGCGCCCTGTGTCCGTGGGGGCCCCGGTTCAGCATCCAGGCGGCACAGGGGACTGTCATACACCATCTGCAGGTTCACCTTGTGGCCCACCAGCTCCCGGATATTGTTGATGCCATATTTGATCATTGTTGGGCTTGGGGTGGGGAGGAAAGTAAGAAAACAGTTTTAACGCTGTATCAGGCCATGATCTCCTCTGATCAGGCTCTCTCTGATGGTTCCCACCTCCTTAAATGCCCATGTTGTTCCCAAGGTTCTCAAGGCCCTGAGTCATCCGTCCTGTCTCTTCCCCACCCTCCTCTACCCCCTTCCTCCCTCCAGCTACACTGTCCTCCTCAATGTTCTCCAAATATAACACATACATTCCTGCCTCTGGGTCTTTGCACTGGTTGTTCCCACTGCCTGGAACACCCTTCCCCAGATGTGCCCCCAGCTTACCCTTTCACCCGCCTCTGGTCTTTGCTCGGATACTACCTCCTCTTTGGAGCCTTCTGACAATCCTGTCTGCTTAGCCTTCCCTGTGTTCTCTGGACAGCACTTGCTGGCTTCAGACACACTCTGAGCTTTATTTGTTCAATTTACTTATCTTGCTGACTGCCACCTTTCTCACTGCACTACGAGCCCAGCTTTGCAGAGGCAGGGATGTGTGCTGTCCTACTCCTAGTACAGGACCAAGCATACAGCAGACACTCACTAAAGGCTTGTCGAATGAATAACAAATGGATGGGGCTGAAGTCTGCAGGCCCCCAGGCCCCGCAAGGCACCTGTGTGGCAGCCAGACACCCTGAGTGGTTTAGGCACTCACCGCTCCAGGGAGAGGCCCCAAGCAATGACTGACACGTTTTCGGGGAGCCCCATGGGCAGCAGCATCTCAGGGCGGAAGAGCCCAGAATTCCCGACTTCCACCCACTTCTTCAGGCCTACAGGGGTGGGAGGACAGGGAAAGTTGTGTGGATGATGCTGGCTCTGGCAGTGATCTTGGCAGTGGGCCTGGCAGTGACAGGGACCCAGGCTGAGCTGTGGGCAGCCTGAGAAATCCCTCCCCACCCCAGTACCAGGCTCCCCCCTGACCTTGATGGTAGCTGAACACCTCCATGCTGGGCTCCGTGTACGGGTTGTAGGCTGGCTTGAAGCGCAGCTGGGTGATACCTGGGCGGGGGAGACAGGGGAGCAGAGGGCTGGGGGTAAGCCTGGCAGCATGGGATCCTCCCATGGCTCCACTGCCACCGCCCACCACAGCCTGCCTGCCTACCCAGCTTGGTGAAGAACTCCCGCAGGACGCCCATGAGGTGGCCTAGGGTGAGGCCATGGTCAGCCACCACACCCTCGATCTGGTGGAACTCGGCTAGGTGTGTGGCGTCTAGGGTCTCATTTCGGAATACACGATCGATGGAGAAGTACTTGGCCGGCGCAAAGGGCTTCTAGGGGTGATAGGCAGGCCAGGCCCGGGAGGAGGTCAGAAGGTTGACAGGACAGCCCCCTGCCTCCCCCACTGCCCAGGCTGAGCTGCACCTTCTGGGCCAAGCGGTAGAGGGCACGGGCGCTGGCCGACGTGGTGTGTGTGCGCAGCAGGTTTTTCCGGGCCTCCTCCAGTTTCCACGTGTATTTGTACCTTCAGGAGGACAAATGGGAAGTCTGCATGTGGCACTCAGACCCCCCAAACCTTCTTCCCCCACCGACACCCTGAAGTCTTGGTCCTGTCTCACCCCTGTGAGCCGTAGCCACCCTGAGAGTGGGTCCGCTTGACCCGATGGACGTAGTCCATTGGGAGCTGCAGGGCCTCAGCTGGATCTGGGCAGGACAGAGCATCATCTGGTCAGTCAAGCAGCATTTCTCAAACAGCCACTGCACAGAGGACAGACAGCAACATGTGCAGCTCCCATCCTTGCCATTCACAGCAGCCAGAGGGTGCCAGGAACACCCAAGTCAGTCCCATCCCCACCTCTGCCCAGAATCCTCCCATCTCCTGGGGTGTGGGGGTGGGAGGTGGGACAAAGCTCTCTCTTTGGCTACCCTGTCCTGTCACTGCCACTTTCTAGTTGTTCACTCCCTCCAGTCACAGGGCCTCCCAGATGATCTGTGAGTGTACCAGGCACATTCCAGCCTCAGGACCTTTGCATAGGCCTTTCCCTCCTGAACTTTCCTTCCCATATATGGTTCTCTCCCTTATCTCCTTTGGCCTTTACTTAAACAAAGACTTAATTTTAAGCTGACAGCCCCAACCCCTTCACGCCAGTTTCCACTGTGTTTACTACCATCTTGTATTACTGCACTTGCGTACAACTCAGGATTTAATAAGTATCTATCCCACCAGGACCACCAGGACACAGGTCTCACCAGGGCAAGAACTTCATGTTTCATTCATAGCTATAACCCAGATGTTTAACAGAGACCTTGGCACACAGGAGGGGCTTAGCAAATGTTTGTTGCGTGAATGTGTGAATTCTTTTTTTTTTTTTTTTAAGATTTTATTTATTTATTTGAGGGAGAATGAGAGTGAGAGAGAGCATGAGAGAGGAGAAGGTCAGAGGGAGAAGCAGACTCCCCAAGGAGCTGGGAGCCTGATGCGGGACTCAATCCTGGAAGTCCGGGATCATGACCTGAGCCGAAGGCAGTTGCTCAACCAACTGAGCCACCCAGGCGCCCGAATGTGTGAATTCTTAAGATCCCTTTCCAGAAACATCGATTTTGGTGCACCCGAAAAGCTTGAGATCAAATCCCAGCTCCACCACGTTTGACCTGTATGACTGTGGGCAAGTGATGTTCCTTCCCTAAGCCCCAGGTTCCTCCTTTGTAAAAGAGAGCGAACACTGCTACCTCCTACAGTTGGCAGGAGAATCAGAACAGAGACTGGTATATGGTGAGAACTTAGTAGACTAGAAATGAGGGACTTTTAGAATTCAGGGGGACAGTGCATGTCAAGGTGGCACCTCTATGATGTGACCTGTCAGCAGAGAACTGCCTGGCAGAGCAGGCAGGAGCCATGAACTGGGCAGGAGGGGACGTGGGAGAAAGCCACAGAGGTCACTGGGACCAGCTCACACCGCCCCAGCTGGCCACGCCGAGGATGGAGTTTATTCTGTAAAATGAGTACGCCACTCCGGAAAGTTCTGCCCGGGCCTGGCGCCTCTGATGGCCTGGCCAGTTCCACCCACCTCGGAGGAAAAAGGTGTCATGTTGGTCACGTGCCGGGTGCTGCTGGGGCTGGAAAAGTGCATCAAAGTTCCAGAAAGAGCTCTCAATGAAGTTGTCAGTCGGCATCTCTGTGAACCTGGAGGGAGATGCGGCCTGACTGCCCTGCCTGTGCCCAGTGGCCGGGCCACCCCCGGCCCCACCACTGACCCCGTGCTCACCCCATCTCCAGGAAGATCTGCCGGAACTGCGTGCGGACCTTGAGCAGAGGATGCAAGTGGCCGCTGTCTGGGAGGACGCCATGGGCCAAGAAGTTGTATGGCTTGAAGGGCCGGTCCCGCCAGGAGCCACTGTTGAGGCATGCAAGGTACGTGGGCCTGGTGAGGGCTGTCCTCCCTCTCCGACCTTCCTCAGTTGCTGGGGTCACCCCCTACCTGGAGATCATCTCTGGGCTCAGCTCTGTCTCCTGCTTGGAGATGCTGGTGCTGAAGGCACTGCCTTTGTTCACCCAGTAGGTCTTCAGGGTCCTGTGGCCAGAGAGGAGGAGGGGACGCCACGGTCACCTCCTTCAGGAGGCTTCCTTAGATCTCCCAGCTGACGCTGACCCCAACACCAACCACCAAGTCACTCTGCCTTATTTTTCTCTTGACATTCATCATCACCCGAGATCCTCTTACTCAGCCCACACCTACATCTGTCTGTCGCTCACTTACTTACTCAACAAATACTTAATGAGAATCTACTATGTGCCAGGGTCTACTCAAAGTACTGAGCATACAGCTGAGCAAGAGTAACAGGTAAACTCCTGAGCGTTTATTCTGTGCTGGCAGGCTCGACTCCACTGAAATCATCCCACTACCTTGTGAAAAAGAGGCCATTTTACAGAAGAGGAAACTGAGGGCCAGAAATATCAGGTGACTTGGCCAAGGTCACACAACTAGTAAGTGCCAGAGCCAGGACCTGGATCGGGCAGCTCTCCCCCGGCCTATGTCCCCATAACTGCTATGCCACTTGATATCTCACAGGGTACATCAGCCCTGGGAGAGCAGTGCCCTAGGCCTGTCTAGGATCGGCAGTCAATAAATTCCGGACACTGGAATCAGAGCTGTAAAGGAAGGAAACATGGC